AGAGGCTCTGCTGTCGGCCGAGGGAAAGCCCCAGAAGACGCCCAGATGACCCAAGTCCCCCATCACCTCTTTATCACCGCAGCCTGTATGCCAGGCCTCTGGCCCATAGGATACTCCAAGGAAAAGAATGCTTCTGTTGCTGTCTCACCTAAACGGTCTCCATCGTGGTTCACCCTCTGTCCCTCCCAGGTTCCTGGCTTTCCTCACATGAGCATGCCTTCTTTATCATCCTTTTGAGCAACTCCGGCCTTTTGGAAGAAGAGTGGCCTTATCCCCCGGGGGTGGGAGGGAGCTCCTTTTCCCCTTCCCGTGGTCCATCCCTCTAGGAGGGAGATGCCGCCTACAAGGTCAGATTTGCTCCCTAGGGTTAACATCAGTTCCGTTCACCTCTTTTTAGCCGCTCTTTGTGCATCTGTCTGAGGCCAGGGTCCTCGTTGCATCTTGCTTCCTGGGCATTACTTACTTGTTCTCTTGCCTGCCATTTTCTTTCTTGGGTTATGGAGGTTCAGAATCCTCCATTCTTCCAGCGAGCACAAAAACCCTCTTCCTCCTGAGGTTGACCTCCTACCTTTTACCTAATTCCAAATGGTTACTGCTCCGGGCCCCTTCCTTCTGTATCTCACATTCTCCGTTCTCCAACCTCCTCATCCAAGGGAGCACCCCTCTCTGTCCTTTTATATCTTTTAAAAAAATATTTCTTAAAAGAATCAAAATGGTCATCCAATCTGCCAAAGAGCACTTCGTTCGCTGATGGATGCATCAAAGCCTTTGACGTTTTCCTCTAGGACAGAGCCCAACTTGCTCTTTGCACATATATGTGTTACTTGATATTAGAAGAACACGCAGAGCGTGGCACTCTCCAGCCCATTGCATTGTTCTCTTTGCTCTCCTGGCTTAAGCAAAGCAAGATGCACAATCCTTGGAGGACTGGGGAGGGGGGCAAGGGTCTGCTTTTGCTAACCTTGTGGCTAACCGGCTGTTTGCTACGCCTGTTCACTGCTGAGGGCCCAGATGCTTTTCCAGTGTTGTTCAGTCACGTCCGACTCTCCGTGACCCCATGTGGGGTTTTCTTTGCAAAGATACTGAAGTGGTTTACTTTCTCCTTCTCCAGCTCAAGAGGAATTGAAGCAAACAGGGTTAAGGGATGTGCCCAGGGTCACACAGCTAGTAAGAGGCTGGATTTGAACTCACAAAGAGGAGTCTTCCCGACTTCCTGACTCCAGGCCCTGTGCTCTCTGTCCACCTAGCTGCGGCCTCCCAGTGGCTCACCATTAAACCCTGAGATCCCCGTCACTTTTTTTTGCATCATGGACCCCTTTGGGGAAGCCAAGGGACCCCTTCTCAGGATCAGGTTTTTAAGTGCATAGAAATAAACCACGCAGGATTGCAAAGGAGACTGATTATATCAAAATATCTTGCAAAACAAGTTTGTGGATTTTAGAACCACCGACCTAGACATGGAGGGATAGAGTAAGGGCACGGCCTCAGCACAGGTGACTGAGGCATGCTCTTCAGGGAAGCCGCTGTGTAAAGGTGAATGATGATGATGACCAGTGCGTGCTGGGGTGGAGCTGATATTTCTACAGAGCTCTAGTGAGTTAAATGCACGAGCATTTACTGAGTGTCTCCCGTGTGCCAGGCGCTGTGCTGAGCACAAGGTTCCAAAGAAAGGCAAAAAACAGTCCTTGCCCTCAGTCTAGCGAGGGAGACGTCATGCAAGCAACCAGGTACAAACAAGATAGTGGCAGGTTTACTAAGTGATTTCTGTTGTTGGATCCTGCTAGCGGGGCGGCGTGTGATGGGACCGGAGTACGGGCGCTGCTGTCAGAGGGCCTACTCCTGCCTTGGGAAGTGCACGCACCTGGCCTCTGGCTCATCCTCTGAGTGATGATGGCCAGCTCCTACACCCTCTCTTAGCCTCAAGTTAGGGCAGCTAGGCGGCGCCACAGTAAAGGAGCATGGGGCCCCAGAGTCAGGAAGACTCGAGTTCAAATCCAGCCTCAGACGCTTCTTAGCTGTGTGACCTTGGGTAAGTCACTTAACCCTGTTTTTCTACTGAGGATGGCCATCTGTAAATGCAGTTTCATCCATTTGGACCAGTGGAGGAAACTGGCTCATCTAGGGCTGCCCGGGAAGGTCCGGGGATATTCTTAGTTGCAGAGTAAGACTATCGGCTTTTGGGGTTGTCATGTCACCTTGTTTCTCCCATTGGGCTTGTGGTCTACTAAAGCCCTGCAGACCTTTTTCACAGGAGCTGTGTAGCCGCATTTCTTCCACCCCACACTTGGGAGGTTCATCTTCTGAATCAAAGGTTTGGGTCTCAGCAGAGGGAAGCCGTATCTTCCAGATCCTCTGATCTGTGGGCTTGGGTTCTGGGATGCAGAGGATCAAGAGCTTTCAGGGACCAGAAACCCTGAGATTATGAGACCCAAACTCCTCGGTTTACAGAAGAGGTAGATGATGCGCAAGGAGGGAAAATCAACTTTGTGGGATGGGCCTATCCCAGCTCTGCCAGACACCTTGGTAACCAAGGGCAAGCCTACTTACTCTCTCTTAGTTAGCTTCTCTGTAAATGAGAGCCACGAGGGCTACTGGGGCCACTGAGCTCTGACATCCCCTGCCCTGAGGCCCCTCCCAGCCCTGACACCCCCTGCCCTGAGGCCCCTCCCAGCTCTGACATGCCCTGTTCTGGGGCCCCTCCCAGCTCTGACATTCCCTTCTTGAGGCCCCTCCCAGCTCTGACATCCCTTGTTCTCAGACCCCTCCCAGCCCTGCTATTCCCTGTTCTAAGGCCCCTCCCAGCCCTAACTTTCCTAATTTTATATTCCAAGGCTCCTAACATCTCTATCCTTTGATTCTATGATTAAAATCTGGGGACTGTGCCCCCTTCTCTAACTAGAGAGATGTATTCAATGTCTCTATAAACCAGGTGCCCGATTTAGGACTCCTTGGTTAGAGCCGTTGGAGATCACAGACAACAGAAAACGAACAGGGGCCACTGACTGTTGGCACTGGGAGCCAGAGCTCCCTGAGGCCCTCTCTTGGATCATGAACAAAGGCCCTCCATTGCTCGCTTAGAGTGGGTCTATTAATGTGTCCTGCCTCCCCCTTCTTTCACCATCCAGCCCCCCGAATGACCACATGGCCACCCTTCTGCCCCTGAGCCTGGCCGGGCCCTGACCTTTGGTGGGCCCACAGGAGAAGCAGGAGCCATCCCATACACTTTAAAGCAGTTTATTATTATTTCATTTGTAATTCTGATAGAATTTCACAAAATCATAGACGAAAAGCAAAGCGATGGGGTGTAGTGGAGGGCCCCAGGTTGAGCCTCAGGTAATCTGATTACAAGTCTAAAAAGCTCTGGGACTAGTCAGTTCCCAATCAGAATCTTGGCTTTTATCCTTTGTAAAGTATGGGTAACCTTCAGAGCTGTTCTGAGAAAAGCGCTTTTCTTAAAATGATAAAATGCTACAGCTATGTGAGTTGCTTTGATTAGAGTTGGAAAGGCCCTTGGTGATTGTGAACTTGGATAGGAAAAAATGGAGTCTTCCTTTTCCGTAATGTCTGACTGGAACTTAGCATTTCCTTCGGTTATTTAAAAGCATCATCCTGAGAAGGGGCCTACAGGCCTCAACAAAATGCCAGAGAGATCTTTGATCAAAAATTTTTAAATGTCTGCTCTGGTTGGGCTCTGCCACGAACTAGTTGTGTGACCTTGGAGAAGTCATTTGCCTTCCTCTAGGCCTGCCTATCCTTACTTCTTATTTGACCGGGTATGTGGGTTAGATATCCTCCATTAAATCAGAGTTTTTGCTTAAATAAGGCAGGGAAAGATTAAATCTAGGCCTAGGCTGCTGAGTTAGGGTCTGTACAAACTGAGCAGCATAGATTTAAAAAGCAGGACCCTCTCACTGAAAAAGCCCTCTAAAACTATTACTCAGAGGATCAGTGTTTTATAAACCCATCTGCCTTTTTGGGGTGGGGGTGGGCTGAAGTCCAGTCCAAAAAAAAGCATCATAGCCATTTTTCTTTTTGGACTGGACCTGCGCTTTCATTGGTGTTCAGAGCTCCTGAGACTTCTACTCTGCAGGCTGGCATCTATAATTGTAGAGTACTTGGGATGGGGATGGGAGGTGGGGAACAGAGAGGCTCAGGGTCACACAGTTCCTATGTGTCAGAGGCAGGATTTGAACTCAAGTCTTCCTGACTCTAAAGGTCAGCTCTCTATACATGCCATTTGTGTCTTTTTTAAACGTCAAGTGTTTTCTTTTTCTGAGCAATCCCTTATAGTATGGGTAACCCACGGAAATGTTAGTGTAGAGTTCTGTTCCCAGTGGTTTCTGTTATGTGTAAGAGCTCTGTTCATTGAGGAAGTGTGGTGCAGTGGATAGGGGTTGGAATTAATGTCAGAGGACTTGGGTTTGAATCCTGGCTGCCACTAACTAGTTCTATAACCTTGTGCAAGGCATTTAAACTGCATAGACCCCAGTTTTTCCATCTGTAAAATGCTGAGTTTGGACTGGATGGCCTGAAAAGCCCCTTTTAGCTATAGAGAATCAGAGACCAAGGTAAGGCCCATGGTCACACAGCTCAGGTCAGAGGTGGGGTTTGAACCCCAGTCTTCCTGCCACTGATCAGCATTCTAAACACCATGCCGCAAGGCTCGATTCACTAGGCATACGGGTTAGAATTTTCCATTGTGTCAAGCAGGGAAGGATCCCAGGCCTCCTGATAAACTGCAGAGCCCTCTAAGTGTAAAGGACTGACGAGGTGCCAGACAGGGAGGACAACATGTGGTGGGATCGGTTTCACCCAAGCCCATCCTCTGGGTCCTCTGAGGCCCTCCTGGAAACTCTAGCATGAAATCTGGCGGATGGCTGGCTCAGGTCACCTGTCCAAGGTGACGGGCTGGAATGAAGCTCAGGTGTTTCAAAGTTGGCCCTTTATGAGAGAATTTGTGGGAGGAGCAGAATTCAGCAAGAAGGAAAATGAGGCAGTTATTTAAAATTTTACAAGTTTTATTAAGGATCATTTGTTCTAAAAGATCTTTAAGCCAATAAAAAATGTGTTCCAGGGAACTCTGCTACTAACCCACTTAGGACATAATCAGACCTCATGCCACTTAAAGGGCTTGGGGAGGGAGTGGAGGGGAGAGAGAGCTGGCCACCTACAGACACACCCTACCTACCGTGTGCCATTTACTGGTTCCCTGCAACTGACTTCAGTAGGCACAGATAGAAGATGTTCCTTCCAAAAGAAGCTTGAGCACCTGGGTCTCCACTAACCTACCTATCTGGCATGATGAATGCCAAGGTAGGGCTTGGTTAGATGAACTTCAGGAGGGCACTATGGAAGGGCGAGATGAAATGGGGTACCCCTGCAGTGTGCCTTAGTGAGATCCTGGAATGATCTCTGGAAGCCTACGGGGCAACCCCGTCTCTCAGGAGAGTGGAGAGCAAGGGCAGAAGATAGGCTGGCTCAGCTCAGAGCATGGAAATACACCCCCTTTCAGTCACTGGTCAGCCCCTGAATCTCCAAAGGGTTCAGGCCTGTCGGCCCACATGACTGGACTCACCAGAAAGTAACTGGAGGGGGAGGCAGCAGGCAGGGAAGGGGAGGAAGGGCCCCCATCTGGCTCTGGGAGTGATGGCAGACATGGTCACTGGCCAGGCCTGAGTCTCCCAGACCTGTCAATTGGTCCCCAGCCTTTTGGGATCAGCACCAAGAGACCCCCTGTTGGCTCCTCCCTCTGCTGAACCGACGTCTGGAGTTCACCTCCCCTGCTCACCCGTCCTCCCTGACTAGCCCCGGGAAATCGGGCACAGACAGGGAAGTTCTTGATAACTTTCGTAGTGACTGAGTTTTATTCTTTATAGATGCTGATTCAAGGTTAAAGCCCCCGGGAGAGCTCGCTCCTTGACCTCACATTGTCATCTGCTTTCTGTATCGATCAAAGGATGATACTCGAGCTGAAGAGTTTATTTTCAAGTTCAGACCGTGGTCTAGAGCGAACGACAGGTCTGCACCCTTCACCCTGAATAGCAGAAAGCTAATCACCATCACAGCGGGATCATCACTTTGACCTCCTTCTCATAAACATCCGGGATCACGCCAAAGGGAGAGTTCACCATGCGGACAGTGTTTTTGCCATAGAGTTTGAATTCGTAGTGAATGAGCTGTTCCCAGAAACCGCTGTTGGGCCGAATGATGGGTCGGCAGGACTTGGTCCAGGTGTGGGCGTCCAGCAGGGACATGGAATGGTACTTCATGAGGTAGGCCAGGCAGAGGGCTGCTGACCTGCTGACTCCGGCCGCGCAGTGCAGCAGCGTGCGGCCCTGCTGCATTCCCACCGTGTGGATCTTGTCGGCGATCGGGTCGAAGAAGTCGTACAGGCGGGAGAGCGGGGTGTCGGCCACGGGCACTTGGACATACTGAATGTCGGCGTAGAAGGTGTTCACCACCTCCACGGACACGTTAATGACGGTGGTGATTTGGTTGCTGGACAGTATGACCTTGTTGTTAGCGGCCAGGCCATTGCCGAGGTACAGGCTGCTGGTAATCTGGGACAGGCCACAGACCGCAGGCTGCCTGAAGAGAATGGGGATAGTGTTCAAAGATGTATTCATTAAGGCAAACTTTATAAATCAGCGACGACAGGGGGGCTGCATCTTCCTGCTACTCTTTGTCTAAAGAAAGCTGAGGAGAGAAAGAAGGCGTTACAAGTAAAGTCTGACCACACCTGTGGGCTCCCAGCCCAGCGCACCGGCCAGTGGCATCGGTACCTGGGGTGTGTGCACACACATGGGGATGAGCCCCGGGCTAGGCCCCTTAGACTGGCATTCAAGGCCTTTTGCCACACGGCCCCACCCAGACCTTACCTAGACCCGGCCCTCGGGGCTTGTTTGTGCTGTTCCTGCTGCTGGCCAGAACGTCCTGGCTTCCCTTCAGCACTGCTCCCCCCACCCCGTCCCCCTCCATGACATGAAGCCCACGTCATCTTCCTCTCGAGCTGCTCTGACCCTCATTCACCAGCTTGAAGCAATCAGTCCCCCCAGGGATCCATGGACAACAGTATAAAGCCCTGATCTTGCCATCCAACTGCCTGTAGAAGGGGCTCCCAAACTTCACAGCCCAGGTACTCTGGACAACTGTCCATCTCCCATTGATCCTCCTTCCTCCTGCCCGCCGTGGCTCAGCTCACAGCTACGAGTGCTCTTCTACGATTCCCCATTAGCTTCCTCTAGACCCGGACCCCCAAGTCCAGACAGAACTGCCTTGCCCTGTCCCTCCCAGGGCTCTCCAACGGCTGATGAGGGAATGGGTTGTTTTTATGGCCACATAAGAGCCTGGAGCCTGGGGAAACTTGGGTCTCTTCCCAGCACGAGGGCCTCGGGATCCACTTCAAGAGAACTTTGGGGCTCTCATTAACCGGATCTGTCAACTGTGGCTTTTAGAGTAAAATCCAGCACTTTCGTCTTTGTCCTCAGAAGCTGGAAAAGTCCAGGGTGAGAAAGGGCATCCTTAGGGGCTGAGGATCTCCATCTCAGAGCTGGCACAGCCTCCGGGGCTGCCTCACCCCACCACGATCTGAATGATGACCTTTACAATATCCTAGCTTGAAGCCCTTCAGTGACAGGGTGCCCCCACCTCTGGAGGTGGCCCCTTCCCCTTCTGGACAGCATTCATGCTCGTTAGCAAGTCTTCCTTCAGATAAAGCCTCAAATCGTCTCTCGGTGACTTCCATCTGCAGGCTCCTGTCGGCAGAACTCGGGGCAAACAGTACGCGCCTAATCCTTCTTCCACGCGAGAGTCCTTCAAATACTTGAAAACGGTTCTCCTGTCCCCCCACTTCTTCTCTTCTACTAACCCTCATGAGGCCCTGCCTGGCCTGGGGGCTCTCCTCTGAATTCGGTCCAGATTATCAATGTCCTTTCTGAAAATGAAGTAAAGAGTGAGCCAGGCCCAGAGTCAGGAAGCCCTGAGCTGGAAATCTAGATGGGTGACACCCTGGGCAAGTGACTTTCTTGCCTGCCTCAGTTTCCTTATCTGTAAAATGGGGGTGATAATAATAGTCCTACCTCCCAGGGCTGTGGTGAGGAACAAATGAGATCAGTATTTGTAAAGTGCTTAGCACGGAGCCTACCACACTTACTTAGTAAATGCCAGTTACTATTATGATTAGCTATTAAATACCACACGTGGCTCCATCACAGTGGCCTCCTCGAGCCCTTCTGCCTCCCCTCGGCCTTTGGAAGCACGTGCTGCTTCCCACAAAGAGCCTCTCTGGCTCCCGCTCCAGCGCCATGGTCTTAGATAATCTCACCAAAGAAGTCTTCTGGAAGGCAGAGACTTTTTTGTTTCTGTGACTGTATCCCCAGGAAGTGCCTCATACAAAGCACTGTTTAATATCCGTTAGGCTGAGGTGGGTTGCTTGTCCTCTCTAGATGGGCCTCAGTATGTCCTGGGGCAGCACTCCCGATGGGGGCTCACCAAGGCACAGCGTGGCGACTACAGTCAACGATTTCTAGGATTCAATGCCAGAAAGGGCCTTCATCTAGTCCAGGGGTGGGGAGCCTGCAGCCTAGAGGCCACATGCAACCCTCCAGGTTCTCAAGTGCAGCCCTTTGACGAAATTCAAACTTCACAGAACAAAAGGATTTGTTCCGTAAAACTTGGACTCAGTCCAAAGGCTGCACTCAAAGGACCTAGAAGGCCGCAGGATCCCCACCCCTGGTCTAGTCCAATGACCCAAGGCTCCCCCTCCCCCAACACTGAATCAGGGTCCTCTCCCACCCTCTGCTCTTTTTCTTTGGGAGGCTGCCTTTGTCTCTTCCAGCCAAACAGTCCATCCCAGGAGCAGATCTTGTCTGTACACAGGGGCTCTCAGCAATGACGGAGGCAGACATGCCCCAAGCCTCTCACCAAGACAAACCGTAGAGGGACCATCATGGCACTAGGAACGGGTTGGCTCTGGTCTGTCCCGGGGCAGAGCCAGAACAATGAGTGGAAGCTGCTAAGGGGCAGATTTAATTGGATGTCGAGAGGACGTCCTCACAATGAGAGCACCCCAACTCTGGCCTAATCCTTCTTCCACCCGAGTCCTTCAGATGCTTGAAGGCTCCCCTGCCCTGGGCAGAGGCTGGACAATGCCGTCAAGGGCAGTGATTCAGGTGCAGCTTAGCCTCACTGGCCTCTCGTGGCCCCAGATACAAACAGCTCCTTGGTGCCTCGAGTTCAGCGGGGCTCGGGGATAAAGGCTCCTCTCCCCACTATCTCGTGAGACCCTGGAAGGGGACAGGATCTGAGGCCTCCACACTCCTCTGCACCATAACAGAGTGCTGCTTCTGCATGGAGGAGCAGTCCAGGAAAGGGTAAAGGGCACTGACCTGGAGTCCGAGGGCCTGGGCATCAGTCCGGGCTTTGCTACTACTCGGCCAACCTGGGCATGCCACTTGGGCCAATTTTCACCGCTGGGACCGCTTCCCCATTTGTAGAATGGGGATAATGAATAGTTACACTGGGTTGTAGGGAGTCTCAGAGACCATCGCTACAGGAATGGATACCCTGGTGACCTCCTGCTCCCTGCCTTCGCTCTCCGGTTAAGTCCTCCCCGCCTGGGCCTTGCCTCCCCCTCTACAAAAGGGGCCGCACTGCACGACCTCCTCTTTCCAGCTCTCCAGCTCAGGAATCCCAGGATCTGCCCTGAGGGACAGCCTGGCCAAGCTGGGTTTGCTGGGAAACCAAACGGACAGATTCCTCCGGACTCTTGCCGTCTGTCCCCTTGGGCAGGATCTGGTAACAGTCACACAAAGATTTCTGCTGATGGAGTCTCCTCGAGTCCCCAACCTGGCTGCCCTCCTCTCTTCAGTGTCCTTCCAGAACTGGACATAAGATGATCTTCAGATTAGGCTGACCAGGACCTCACTTCCTTCCCTTCATGGACTCTATTCCGGCCAAACTGGGCTAGCGGTTGTCCCCAGAGGGGCCTGGGCGGCCTGGTTTCCCTCTCTCTGGAGGTCTCCAGCAGAGGCTGGACCACCACTGGTCAGCAATGCTAGAAGAGGCATTGTTTCCACGCGTTGGTTGGCGTTGATGGCCACGGGGCCCCTTCCAATTATGAAATCACAGGTGAAGTGACTTGCCCAAGGTCACACAGCACAGAGTGCTGAGGCTAGATCTGAACTCATCCTCTTGCACAGCATGCTAGCTGCCATACCACCTCGCTGCCTCAGTTTTCTCATCCATAAAAGGGACATAATAACAATACCGACCCCTCACGAAATGCTTTACAAACCTTAATGTATAAGAGATTATTAAGACATTACGATGGAATCTTACAGATTACTTTGTCCAACCCCATTATTTTATCTTCTTATGTTTGTTACCACTTGTGTTTATAGCTGATCTTAGCCAAGAGGCCAAGCAGAAATATGTGTTTTGTTTTAAATGTCGCCTTTATTTCTGAACAGATCTCACTCCGTCTGCTCCTCAGTAAGCCACCCCTCATAACAACAAAGAAGAAAAAGGCAGTCTTGCCAAACCAGCCCCTCTATCGACAGTGTGTGCCTATGCCCCTCTCCCTACCCGCAGTCCCCATCTCTGCAGACAGAGGAGGGACCTGCATTTCCTCCACTTCCTCTGTGGGAATTACACTGGTCATTATAATTATGCAATTTGATTATTCTGTTCTTTCCATTTACATTTCTGGAACCAGCACCCTGGGCCTGTCTTAGACGGGCTGCTTGTGGGTAAGCTATGGATTGCCAACTTGAAGAAACTATGGGTAGGAGATGTTTCTTTCTCTCCCAGGGCCACCGCTGCTGTTTCTAGGGAGAGCGACAGGAAAGCACCGGCGGGAGCCCGGAGAATTACCCGTCAGTGCTTGACCTGTTCCAGAATACCGCAGAGCCCCTCCTGGCACCATATGGCCGCTCCCTTCCTCCGGCACAGGCCATCATCCGTCTCCTCTCCCAGCTGACTACGCCACCTCATGGGTGTTTTGTCTTCCCAAAGGTCCCACAGATCCAGCCGGCTGGAGGAAGGGCGGTTCCTCGTGGCAACGAATCGGTTTTAAACTTTCTTCCTGTGTGCTGCAGGGAACCACATCCAATCAGTGATGCCCCTGAGCACAGCTCCGTTTGTCAACTCCTCAGCAGGCTTACTCACTGAGTTCCCCACTGTCCGGTTTGTCTTACTTGACTCTGCAGCAGTTCACAGAAATCTTCATTTGCTTCAATAGCTTCCCCAAATTCGTCTTTTTCTTACGGCATATTGACATTCCATAACACTGATGCACTCCATACAATTGGTTTTAACCATTCCCCAAATGACGTGCAGCTTTGTTTCTGGTTCTTGGCACAAAGTGCAATGCTCTGTAGGTCAGGTATGGGAATTTTTTTTTTGTCTTTGTTCTTTTTCCTTAATGTATAATTATGGGTAAGAACACACGGGTGATTTTTAAACAAAAAATCCAAATTGCTCTCTAGAATGGTGGCTCAAACCGTCTTGTTTTAAGAGGAGGTGCCCAAGGTCACCCACCCAGTCAGCAGCAGAGCTGGGGTCAGGCTGTCACGCCTGCTGCCTCAGGCGGCTTCTCATTGGCACCCAGGCAGAAGGAGTCAAACGAGGGCTGGTCTGGCCGGGGAAGGCTTCCCAGAAGAGCTGGGATTGAGGACACACACATTTACCAGGACTCCAAACCTGCCAGGAGCTGTCGTTTCCTTGGTATGGGTCACAGATCCTAACAACTCTATGACCGGGCGCAAAACTCCCTTGGCCAGGCTGTGGATGGACAACAGAATCCCAGAGCCCCGCCCGGAGGCCACCCTCTGCACCCACCCTGACCTCTAGGTCCCCTAGGCATGGCCTGATGCCCTCCAGAGGGGGAGCTCACCGCCCACAGGCAGCCCACTCCTCTCCTGTTCTGAGGAGGGGCTTCCCACCCTCATCTTCCTGTTCCTACTCCTTCCGTCTGCCCTTGGCGGTCAAGCAGACCCTGCCTGATCCTCCTTCCACGTCTTCCCTTTTCTCCTCCAAATTAAATGGCCCCCGTTCCCTCAAACACTCCTCACCCAGCAAGAACGGGAGGCCTTTCGCCATCCTGGCTGCCTCCTTGGGATGACTCCAGATGATCCATGTTCTTCCATAAAGCTGGTTCTCAGAACTGACCATGAGAACACGGTCTGACCAGGGCCCGGGAGAAGAGGGAGAGCGACCAGTGAACAAAGACTTCAGCACTGCACAGAGCCCCGCACTCAGAGTCTACATTCTATCCCCTCCCCAGCTCCTCCTGGACCCCGAGCCAGGTTACGAAGCCAAAAATCACCTTGCTCTTCTCTGGCTGCCACAGCATATGGGAGACTCATAAGGAGCTTGTGGCCCACTATAAACCCCAGGTCTTTTATAGCTGAATGGCTCTCCGGCCACACTTCTTTCCTCTTATACCCAGGACAAGTTGATGTTTTGAACCCAGAGGTAATTCTTCCCAACAATCCTCATTAAATCGGTATTGTTAGACTCTGGCCTGTTGAGATCTTCCCCATTCTCCTCCTACATAGACTCCACCTGGGACAGAGGCCAGATGGTCTGCTTAAAATGCTGATTTCCTGCCACTCAGGCTGCTTTAAAAGCTACAAGGGATCAGGTTAATCTACAGCATTGAACTGGCACTCCTCAGCACTGCTTTTAATGCGGACGCTGAGACTTCCGCGATGGGAAGTGAAAGATGGCAAAGGGAAGCAGGGGGTCAGGCCACGGGCTGCCCGACGCTGCCTGGAGGGCGGTGAGCCTTAGAGCTCATCACAGGACGTGCCCAGCACTGCTGGCGTGAGCCTGGGCGCTGCCTCGGAGGACCGCGGTCAGCTTTCCTCAGGACGACCACACGGGGCAAGCGTCCGTCCGCTCCTGGCAGCCTCTCCACCTCTGCCCATTATGCAGACCTCTGTTCCACAAAAGGAGCCCCCAGGATGTCAGTGCTGTCCCCGGGGAGGAGCCTGACGCTGGGGCAGCAGTGACCCTGGGCTCCCAAGGGCCGGGCCAGGCCGGACCAGGCACGCGAGGGAGGGAGCGAGCAGAGCGGATCTCATCACCAGGGGCCTGCAATCAACCATGGTGAAGGGAGGACTCGGGGCAGGGCAGGGAGAGTGCCAGACTCACCCAGACCAGCACCAAGCAGCCAGACCTACCTCTGGGCGTTTCTGGCAGTGTTCCAGATCAAGCCAATCCAAGGTGGCTAAGTCAGGTGGCAGAATCTCGGTGCTTGTGTCTGCAGGGAAGAAGGATTGACCCCCTCAAGATCACGGAGACCAATCAGTCCAGGGCTTCTTAAGAGGAAACTGAGGCAGGGAGGGAAGTGACTCCTCTCGAGCTTACACAGGAAGTCAGGGTAGGAGGCAAGACTAGACTCAAAGCTGGGAAATCGTCCAACATGATTCCTTCCTATGGGGAAACCAAGGCACAGCGAGGCTGGAGCGGCCTGCCCGAGGAGGGACCCCAGTGGGAAGAGCTCTGGCTCTCAGGCTCTGCTTCTTCCTCTGCGACCTCAGGCAAGCCCCCAGCACAGCCCCTCTCTTCTCTGAAAGGAAGGGGTGGGCTAGACAGCCCCAAGTCCTCCTCAGGTCTGTCCTGGGCCTCCTCGCCTCCCTTTTGGCTGCTCCATCACCTCCCTACGGAGGACTCCCAGCTTGTCCGTCCTTGCGCTGCCAGACAAGCCACACTGGATGTCCTGGCGGTGCTGGCCTGGTCATCCTTCCCTCTTCCACCAAAGGTACCACCATCCTTGAGGGCTGTGGGGTTCCTCGCTTGGGCTCCAGCCCCCCCTCATCCCACAGACACCGCGAGCTGCCCAGTCCGGCCTTTCCCACCCTCCCGAGGCTGGCTAAACCAGAACTTGTGTCTAACTGGCCCCAGCCCCACTGGCCACTCAATCTCCCTCCCTCTTGGCTTGGCCTTCGCTCTGGTCCTCACGCACAACACCTCCTCTCCCCTCTCCGAGCTTTTGCCCTGGCCGGCAGGCATGCCAGGCTGCCCTTCCTTCTGCCTCGGAGCCCCTCTCTTCCTTGAGGAGGTGGTTGGAGCCCCACCTTCCGCAGGAAGCCTATGCTGACACCCCCTGGGTAGGTATCTGTATTCATTCATTTTGTGTTCATGACACTGCGCATCTTCCTGTTTTCTTGGGCTATCCCTCACCACAACCACGCTCCTTGGAAGGGGGCTGGGGGGGGCAGTTTCCGCCCTTGTACTTAGACGTATCTCCAGGGCCTAATCCAGTGGCTGGCACACAGTAGGCGCACAATAAATCCGGGCCTTTTCCCCCAGCAGCAACTGCCTCTCGCTGCTTAGATGGGGAAACTGAGGCCCAGGGAGGTGCATGACACTGTGGGGAGGGGCTCCTCTAGCCTAGGCCCCGGCCCCCGCCCACAACCCCGTTTCCATGAGAACTCCGCAGGGACGTACTAAGGTTCCGCCTTCGCGAGGCTTTTTGGCCTCCTTTCTGGGAATTACGGTAAGAGCTTGAGGCGAAAGGGCTGATGGGATTGGAGGCGCTCTCCAGAGCCTCCCCGGGGCTGCGGCCGACGGGGAGGGGACTGAAGGAGGGCAGGGGGCGGGGCGAAGGGCCGACGGGGAGGGGAAGGCGGCAGGGGGCGGGGCGAAGGGCGGCGGTACGGGAGGAGGGCGGGGCAGGGGGCAGGGGGCAGGGGCCCGGGTCGAGGGCGACGCCAGCCTCATGGCCGAAGCTCCGGGCTCACCCAGTTCTCAGCGTCCTCGATCCCGCCGTCGCCGCTGCCGCTGCCGCTGCCGCTGCCGCCTCCGCCGCCGCCGTCTTTGTGATGAAGCTTCCGCTTGCCCCCGCTGCCGCCGCCGCCGCCGCCTTACACACTGCTCCCGCGCCTCCCTCCATCATGCCCTCCCGCCCCCATCCGTCTCCTAGGCAACGAGCCGCGTCCACCCTACGGCGTCCGCGCAGGGACAATCCAGCCTCGCAGGCACGCGCCCCCACCCCAGTGCGGCCCGGTGCTCGCTTCCCGGGCAATGGACGCTTCCCCGCGCCGAGCCTCTTTCTACCGGCGCGCCCCGCCCGTCTCCTGGAAGATGCGAGAGGAGGCCAAACGGCCTAGCGTCGGCAGGGGCTCCATTCAACTGCCCGCCCAGCCCGTAGACGCTGGGGAAGTGCCCCTGCCCGGTCGGGCCGGGGCCACGCTCTCGTCGGGATGCCACCTGCTCATGGGCAAGCCGGAGTGGCGCCGCACCGAGATCCCCTTGCCCGGGAAGTCCCAGGTGGTGTTCATGCGGCCCAGAACCTCCCAGGCTCCCGTGCTCTTCAGGTGCCGCCCCCCAAGGACCTCCCCATCTCGACCTTCGACCCCACACCCTGGGGACCCTGCCCCCCCCGGGATTCTGCGCTCCTAGCCGGACCTTTTACCCCGAGGAGCCCAGTGCCCCCAGGATCGACGGTGTCTGACCAGGACCCAGCCTCTGATCTACACCCCCAGGCCCAGGATGCCCCACAATAGGCACCCACTCAGTGCCCCCCCTCTTCCCCCCACCAGCCTCTAACTTAGTGATCCTGAACTTGGACTCCGCACCCTGCTTTCTGTCCCGGAGCCCCAGGCAGGCCCCTCCCCCCCAAGTGTCTCTGTGACCTTCACCAAATCCTCTGCCAACCTTTCTCAGTGGTCCCTTTCATGCTCCGCAGCCTCTGTAGATCTTCCTTTAGAACTCATCTGAACCCCTCTAATTCCGTAACAGCCCTCCCCCCAATGCCTCCCCTTCCCCACCCCCCCCCCCTTGCACTCCCCCCCGGGCCTTCCTGAAACATCCCCTTTGCAACCTTTACCTTCTCTCCCCAACCCTTCCGAGCTCTGCCAACACCCAGGGTTTCCTATCCCTTTGACCACTCCCTCCCCCTCGAGCTTCTATTCTTCCTTAAAAGTCCTCTGAATCCACTCTCCATTTAGGTCTCCTAGGCTCCCTCCAACCCCCTCCCCCAAAAGAACACCCACTCAAGGCTCTGCCTGAAACACCTTTTAATCGGCACCTCCCAAAAACCCTGGTTCTGAGGGTGGCTGCTGGAGGCCCACACCCTGATCCTTAGCATTCAGAATGAGGCACCTGTGTCTCCCACTCCCGAGGAAACTTATCAGCTCAGCTCCTACTTACTCCTGGCTTAGTTGAGGACTTTCAGAGACCCTGTCCTTGCCTTGCCCAGGAGCCTCCCTGATTTATAATGCCCTCCTTCCCTCTCCAGCTTGATGAATGCCAGTGAAGTGGCTGTGAAAAAATTTTTACCCAAGAGCCACTTATCAAGAGTGATTATCCAAGACAACCTCAGTGCCCAGCGCGTCTATGAGTTGGAGGTAATGCCATAGGGTTACGATGGGCCACTCTTCTCCCTCCCTGGTCCCTCTCCCCCACTGCCTAAAACAGGAGGCCTCTAGAGCTCCCCTGGCCCGGCCTCTTGGTTTGAGGCAGGTCAGAAACGTGGAGGTTCTGTGTCGGGGTGGATGGTAAGGGATTGGCCTCGGAATCCTGGCTGAAGCCTAGCTGGGTGGTGCTTACTTGTGCACTGCCTCTCTCAAGGGACTGCTGTGACTAGAAATGGGAGCTTTTGAGATGATTGCCAAGGAGGTGTTGTAAGGGTTGGCAAAGGTATCCCACTTGCCCAAAGTCCACGACCAGGAAATGGCAGGGGGGGGGGTCTGGGACCCAAGTTTCCTGCCCCCCTCCAGTTCTCCACTGTAACACATGGATACCTTGCTCTCTCTTGTACTCTTTCTTGATCTCTCTCCCCCCTCCTCTCTCTCTTCCTTTTTCTCTCTTTCCTCCTCTGTCTCTCCCCCCCTCTTCTGTCTCTCTCTCTCCTTCCTCTTCTCTCTCTCCCTTTCTCTCTCTCTCTCCTCTTCTCTCTCTCCCTTTGTCTGTCTGTCTCTCTCTCTCTTTCTTAAAAAGCAGGAGTGGGTAGAGTGGTAGGAAGAGATTGTCTGGCCTAGTCTTCCTTTGCTATTCAGGCAGGCAGGAATATGCAATCAGATCAATTTCCCCTCTCTGTACAAATGCCACGTTTGACAAAGCCAGGGCTTTAGCTGAGGGGGTGGGAGCTGAGGCTTTAGGTACTCTGCCTTGACTCAGGCTCCTGGTAATCCTGAGGCTTGTGAAAAAACCTCACTGGAGGCCCTTCTTCCTGCTCTCCTTCCCTGCTGCTGGGGAGGGAAGAGGAAGCCAGGTGGTCCTGAGCCACGATGCCTCCCCCCAACTCTGTGCATATAACCGATTTGTCCCAAAGAGGCCACCATACTGAACACGAACCTTTCTCTCCAAATTCTCTCCCAGTCTCGGTCATAATGGGCACACACATTCCACTCACTCTCCTCTTCTCTCTTTGTATCATGGTTTCCAGCTTCATGTTCCAGGGACACTGTTCTCTCCAAAGTGACCAATGATCCAGTAACCTTTTCTCGACCTCTCATCTCTCTGCACCCTTTGACATCATTGATCACTCTCTCCTCCTGGATACTCTGTATAGGTTTTCATGACACCCCTCTTTCTCTTCTGGTTCTTCTATCTGACCACTTCTCACTTAATCTGTGCTGGCTCATGGGGGTCCCCCAGGGTGCTGTCCTGGGCCCCCTTCTTTCCCTTGGTGATCTCATTAGATCCCATAATTTTCATTAGCATCTCTCAGCTGATGACTCAGATCGACTTGTGTAAGCCTCCCCTGTCTCCGCCTCCAAGCCCCCATCTTCAGCTGCCTTTTAGACGTCACACTGGATGTCTGGTAGACATCTCAGGTTTGACACGTCCAAAATGGAATTCATTGTCTCCCCTCCACACCCCCTCCTCTTCCTGATTTCCTTATTACTGTTGAAGGTACCACAAACCTCCCAGGCACCCACGTTCCCAGCCTACGTGTCCTCCTTGATTTCATGCTCTTCCCTAGCTGCCATATTCCCATCTGTTACCACATCCTAAGGATGGCACCTCCACAAGGTCTCTTGTATGTGGCCCCTTCTCTTCTTTGACACTACCATCCCCCTCCTCAGGCCTGAACCATCACAATAGCCTTGTGGTGGGTCTGCCTGCCTCTTCTTCCCACTCCCATGTACTGTCCATTCAGCTGCTAAAGTGGTTTTCCTGAAATACCATGTCACCCCACCCCACCCGTAAGTGGCTCCCTATCACCTCGAGGAACAAATATAAAGCCTCCTCTGTTTGGCTTTCAAAAGCCCTTCATAATATCATGCCCTCCCACTTCCATTCTTACACCTGATTCTCAGCCACACAATCCTGCCATCCCTACTCTGGGCATTTTCACTGGCTGGCCCCCTCCTCACCTCCTCCTTCTCCCACCTCCTTCAGGCCTCACCCAAAGTAACATTTTGAGCAAGAAGCCTTTCCCACTCCTTTATCTCAGTGCCTTCTCTTTGTTAATTTATCCCGTCTTCATCTTGCCTGTTGTCTCCCCCATGAGACTGTGAGGGCAGGCTTGGGTTTTTTTTTTTTTTTGAGGGGGGGGTTTGCAGTATTTGTATCCTCAGTGCTTAGCTTGGTACCTGATACATAACAGGGACTTAATCCATGATAGTTGACTGACTGACTGTGCTGACCACTTTGGGTTCTACTTTTTCAGGTAATCTATATTTAGAAACATTTTATTGTTCTGTTTTCATATTATCTTCAGTTCCAAGTATATTTCTCCTCCTCCACTCCCCACTGAGCCATCCCTTGTACCAAAAAATAAAACAAGGAAAAGTTCAGCCAGACACACCAACATAGCCCCTAAATCTGACGGTGTATACAGTGTTCCACATCCATAGGGCCCCCTTAGGTCATGTCTTGTGTTCGCTTTTCCATGCATCAGGGCCCACAAGTTGAGGGCCTCCTATACCAGGGGTTCAGGTGAAATGTCCTAGGAGAACAAGAAAGGACAGAGAACACCTGGGAAGTGCCCTTGAGCGAGGAAGAGGATTCCAGGCAGGAGGGAAGAATTGATGGGAGTGCCTGGGAACAAGGACTCAATTGGGCTGAAATGTGGGGAGCACATGGTGGGTAGCAGGAAGAACTTTAGAGTCAGGGGTACTGGGTTCAGGTCCTACCCCTGCCACTTAGCTGTGGGATCCTGGATAAGTCACCTAACATCTCTGTGCCTCAGTTTCCTCATCTGTCAGATAAAGGGGTTGGATTAGATGGGCTCTGATGGCCATCCCAACTCCATCTACAACCTTAGAAGGGGGAGCAATATGAAATGAGGCCAGAAAAGTAGATGGAGTACAGAGGGCCTTGAATGCCTGACTAAGGAGTTTGTGTTTTATAGAGCCACTGAAGGTATTTGAACAGAGGAATGATGTGGTTTGGCAGCTGCTTGGAGGTGATAAAGACCTGACTGGAGAGAACTGGTTCAAGACATGATCTGGAGATAGAGCTCACCAGACTTGCCAGGGGATAGGCTCTCATCAGGGGAGGGGCATTAGCTGCAGGAAAAGAGAGAGAGGAGGAGGAGGAGGAAGAAGCCGCTTCGGGCTTCTGGGCGTGTGGGGCCAGGGGCCGGAATGCGCTTGGTTGTGGATGACCTGGTGGGAATGCTCAGGCAAACAGAGGAACGAATTTAGGAAAGAGATGGAGGCAGAAAGAGGCCCGCATTTAATTGGGCAGTCACCTCCTCAGGTGATAATTGAACCCCTGGGATCCCCAAGGAGGCACAGAGACAGCTGCTGAGAGTCTCAGGGCTGGTGGGGGCCCTGAAGGTGGAAAGGCTTGCCAAGGTTCTCAGGAGGGTATGGGGGGAGGGGCCTGCGTTTCCCCTTGAGAGTTGGGTCAGTCAGAGTGGGTGGGAGCAAAGGCGGGGCACAGTTCCCCCCCCCCTAAGCTCACCACACCCTCAAACTGCATTATCCCCACTGATCTCCCTATCAGTTGGAGGCTAGCTGCTGCTACTGCATGAGGGTAGACACTGGGTGGAGATGTTTGTGTGTGTGGTTTTCCCTTCAAATAATAACAGATTCTGGAGCACTTTGAGGTTTGCCAAGTGCTTCACATCGATGGTCTCATTAGAGTGACCAAGTTCTCTGAAGAAGATACTGAGGCTCTGAGGGGTCCAGGTCCTCTGTTGCCATAGAACTTGTCAGTGTCTGAGGCAGGACTGGAATCCTGGTCTTTTTGTCTCCTGGTCTAGCCCTCTGTCCACCATGCTCTGCTTATGTCTGGACCAACATAGGATGGATGCTATTTATTGTATCAGAACGAGCCCTGAACTTGAAAGACACGACCATAGCCAATGTAACCTGCTTCTTGGGACCTTGATTTCTGCCACTGTAAATAAACATGGCTGCCCCAAGCACTTTGTAAAGGGTCATCTTCTCTCATAATCAGACGAGCACCTCATAGTTTGCCATGAGGGTGTGATCATTTCATGGAACGATGAGGCGAGGTTCAGTTTGGCACAGGGGACACTCTGGAGGGACGGGGTGGTAGTGCCAGCTCTGACGCCTTTCCGGTGACCCTGGAGGAATGGGTGAGACTTGTCTCTCCTCAGCTTAGCCATCACACCTCAGCTGGGAGCTGAGAGACACAGAGAGGCCAGTGCAGGCCAGGAGCTCAGTCAAGCTCAGGGGGTTCCAAATTTTCTTGGCCTTTGTGTCTCTTGGCTTTTCTGGGGACCTTTCCATACCCTCTCTTCACTATGACAGGAAGTTCACTCTAGAGTTTACCATGCACATGAGAAGTAAAATAGACACTCCCCAGATGTAGGCCACCCCCGACACACCTGCCATGTCCCAGGTTGGGAATTCCTAGTCAGGGTAAAGAAGACAGTCCATTATTGGAGGTGTTTGACTTGAGGTTACATGACCAGTTGTCTGGGATGCTGTAGAGAGAATTCACGCTCCAGGTAGGTGTTAGGACTAGATTGTTTGAGGTGTTCCCTTTTACTCGGTTTGGGGGGGGGCACTTGGAGAAGTTTCCTGGTCATCGGGACACTGATGGTTGTGCCCACTGGGGTCCCTCCCTTTTCTCCCCCTAACGTCCCCTTTATTTTCTCCAAGACGAGAGCAGCAGACAAGACTAAGAAGAAAATGGGCCACCTCTTTGACCACTTGAAGAAGAAGTTCATGACAGAGCAGCTGAGGAAGCTGAGCCGCTGGCACCGGGAGGCGCTGCCCATCCAGAGATACCTGGAGAGCATCCAGAAGTACCGGCACGAGGCCGAGCGCGAGCCCAGGCCCAGGAAGAAGGTGGAGACTCTGAAAAGTACACGTGTCAAGAAAAACTTGGTCCTCGGCTGAGCCGACAAGAGGGGTCCTCATCCGGGGAGGGGAGGAGGCCATGCAACTAAACTCTCCTCTTGTTCACCGTTTCCTTGGCCTCTCGGATACCTGGGTCACAACTTCAGAAAGGAGGGTTAGGGCTGGCTTGATTGCTGTGTGACTTTGGGTAAGCCCTTCACCTCTCTCGGCCTCAGTTGCCTCTTTTGTCAAACGAAGCTTATGACGTACCTTACCGTTCTGAACTCTCTGAACCCCTGAGGAAGAGTCATTATTAGGTGAGGTAGGGGAGGGGCGAGTGAGGAGATGTGCCCACAATGGCAAGTTCACCTCCTAGTTGGCTTTCCATCACACCTGGGCAGAGAAGGCGATTTCATGGATGGGAGAAGTAAGGCTCGGCAGCGAGCCCAAGGCCATGATTAGTAAATTGGGAAAGGGCCTAACCACAAGGTTCTGATCACAAGTCCAGTCCTTTTCCCACTATAAAATGACAACTTTCATCATAGAATTGTAAGAGCCGTAGAGATTATCTAGCCAGAACTTCTGGCCGGAGGAAAATGAGGCTCAGAGCAGAAAGTTACTTGTTCGATTTCTGATATAAAATTAGTGTCCAAGCTGGGACTAGATCCCAGGACCCTGCCTGAGAAGCAGAGAAAACTCAAATGGGCTCCAGTTGTACAAATGTTTATTGAGCTCCCTACTTTGTAGATGCCACAGGCCCATACGAGCTCAGTTCTGGAAGTGGAAGGGACTCTCCAAGCTTTAGAATCCAACCCTCTCACTTTACAGGTGAGGCAACTGAGGCACAGGGAGGTGAAATGATTTGCTCAGGGCAACCCAGCAAGTGTGTAAGGCAGGATTCAAACTCATCTTACTGACCTTTTAAGTCCAGTGCTCTACCCACTGTCCCAAGGGACAAATTCCCACATAGACTTGGGCAAGTAAGGGAGTCCTTGGCCTTAAGGAACTTAGAGTGAGGGAGGTAACATTCAAATAATCAGGTAGGATGGATTTCAGGTCCACTCTAGAAAATCCCCAGATTTGCATCCCAAGGGTCAACCTTTCTCCACATGTCTCAAAGCCCACATAGGCCAAAACCTCAAGTCCAAACTGGATTCATCTTCCCCCTCCAACATGGCACCAGCCAGCCAGCCATCCACTCAGCCTTTTTTCTGAGCTCCTCTGGCAACACCTGCTGCCTTTTGGACACTCAAGACTTGTTTAAGCCAGATTTCACCTTGCCCCGTGTTTGAATTGTCATCCTCCTCCTCACCTAGACTCCTCTCTTGTGCTCCTTGCCTCGGTATCCCCGATATCTGGCACGTGGTAAGTGTTTGATATTTATTGACTGACTCTCTTATCAAGGAAATCACATTGTGGTGGCAGAAAGTCAGGGTTCTAGATTTCCTCCTGCTGTTTCTTGATTGCATCACTCTCCTTCCCGAGCCTCAGATACCTCACCTGCAATCATCGTAAAAGCCATTCCTGGAGTGTTTTCTTGAGGGGAACAACACATACACATGAGTGCAGTAGACTGAGTGGGGGCCAGAGATCAGCAAAGGCTTCCTGGGGACTGAAGTGCTGGAGCTGAGTTGTGTGTGATGAAGGAGAGGAAGGGGGTGCATTCCAGATAGGGGGCAAACAGCCCGAAGAGATGGAATGGTATTGATGAAATGGCAGATGGGGGCAGATGAGCTTTAGCAAAAAATTCTTTCTCGTTGCTTATGTCTTTGTCATCACGCTTCTGACTGAAAAGCACTAAGAAAACGAGACGTCGCTGTGTTTATTGTTTAATGAGCACCAAAAAAAGGTTTGGTTTGTTAAAGCAAAAAGGTCATCAGACAAGTCCTCCGTACAGCTACAAAGCTCATGCTAATTCAGGGACTCTGACAGGGTCTCGAGAGACACACATCAATCAGGAAGACGGAGATGACTGCCGATGGTGGAAAGAAAGCTGCTCTGTGGCTGTACGCAATGCTGCCCTTCTCATCCTGCTAAGGGCCGTCCCTCCACTGGTGCTCACTTTCATTCCCGGATGGGCTCCTAGCAATGGTAGTGGGCATGGGCCACTGGGCGTGGGCTCGGGGCAGCTCGGGCCAAATCCCAGCTGGGCACTCCCTAGTGTCAAAACCCCATGGCAAACAGTATCTTTCCTGCTCAGTTTCCTCATCCGTGATGCTGGAGGTTCATGAGTGCTTGCTGGCTGCAGGGCACACTTCCCAAGGTGACCCAGGGGCACCACCGGCACTGACTGGACAAGGAGGAGGGCCAGTGCTGGTCGCTCTTTGCCTGTCTTGAATTGCCCATGCTGCGTGGCCGGGGCCCGCTGCGGAGACCAGAGATGCTTAGCCTGGGGCATGCTCGCCACGTGCGTCCCGCAGCCAGTGCGCTCCTAGAGGCTAGAGCCCGGCAGGGGGCGCAGGGCGCGAGGGCTCTCCCTGTCCGCCAATGAGAGTCCGCAGGAGTCCCACCGTGGCCAGCCGCCCAGGGCGGGGACACGTGCTGCCCTCTCTTGGGAGCTCTCTGGGCTCGCCCGGTAGGGGGAGCAGGGCGCGCGCCAGCTCCGCCGGAGTCTGCACGTGTCCCGCGACAGAGGCAGGGCGAGCGGGGACCCCCCCCCCACGTGCTCTCCTGGCTGGCTCGCCCCGCCAATCAGAGCCCGAGGCAGCTCGGAGGGCGGGGCACCCTCACGGGCCTTCTCACACCTGCGCTGGCGAGCGCGCTCTCTCTCGCTCTCAGTGTCAGAAGCGGAGCTGGGGGCGGGCGAGGAGAGGGACCGCCGCCGCTGCTTCCCACCCTCCCCATCCCTAACTCCTCCCCGCTCGGGGCCCCCGTCCAAGGCGGGCTGGGAGGGGCGCTCGCGCACGTGACGGCCCCCACCCCCGCGGCGCCGGCGCGCGCACTCTCGCGCCTCAGCGGTCCAAGGCTCGGTCCGGAGGCGGGAGGGGCGCCCACGTGACGGCCCCGCCCCCCACGTGCCACTCTCGCAGCTGCAGCCCCGGCCTCACACCTGTCGGGCTCCGGGGGGGCTCCCTCCTCGCGGCCCGCTGCCGCTGTCGTTGTCGCCGCCGCCGTCGCCGTCGCCCCCGCCGGGAGTCCTGCGCCGGGCGGGAGCGGGGGCCGCCCTCGTGACGGGCTCCCCAGGCTGGCGCTGGACTCGCGGGGGTGGGCGGCGGCGGCGGCTCCGCCCGGGGCTCGCGGGGGCGTCCATGGGGAAAGCCGCGGCTGCGGGCGGGCACGGCCCGCGGGGCCCCGGGGGCGGAGGGGGCGCCCGCGGGCTCTCGTCCCTCCTCAGCGCCGTGCCCTGCCTGTCATGCCACACGGAGGCGCCCGCTATGAGCGCGCTGCCCCCGCGGCCTCCGCCGGCATCGACGCCGCCGCCGCCGCCGCCGCCGCCGCTGCCCGAGCCCTCCGAGGAGGCGGCGGCGGAGGCCAAGCCTCCAGGCGCCGAGGACGGCCGTGGGAGCACCCCCGACACCTTAAAGGGCTGGCTGCTCAAGTGGACCAACTACCTGAAGGGCTACCAACGCCGCTGGTTCGTTCTCAGCAACGGCCTCCTCTCCTACTACAGGTAGGGGCGGGGCGGGGGGGCGGCGGGCAGCGGGCTGTGCGCCTGCGCCG